GATGGGGCAGTGTAAGGGACAGGATGGGGAGCGGTGTAAGGGACAGGATGGGGGCGGTGTAAGGGACAGGATGGGGGCGGTGTAAGGGACAAGGTAGGAATGGCAGCTGGAATGGCACTGAGGTGTCCGTGGCCCAATGAGGTGGATAGCAGTCCGGGAAGGGAATGACTGGGAACATGATGAGTGTTGGAGTCCTGATAATAATGGGGGGCTGTAGTAGACTGTATGGACAAGGGACAATACCCCCATTTACTCCTTTTCCTCACCACTCACAGGAAGTTGCGATGCGTAAGCTTGTGCGGTCTGTGGTGGAAGTAGAGGATGATGATGACAATGAAGAGGAGGAGCATCACCACCACCACCACCTTCCACATGTAATGCTGAGCCTCCATGATTGACAGAACTGAAAGCCAATCAATGAAAGGGGCGGGGCCAGGGACAGTCGGGATGGGGAGGGAAGGGCTCAGATACAGATAATGGGTGAGATATCGGGGTGTGTAGAGGAAGCCTGCGCTGCGCTGGTCCGATCTAATGGGAAATATATTGTTAATGCCTCCAGATATAAAATGGTTCCAATATTTCCTCCTCTTCCTATAGGACGGTCTCAATTCCTCCGGAGACCCCGGCGAGTACAACCTGCGTTCCCGCAACATCACATGCACCACCTGCGGGCAGCCGGCTGAGAAGAGCCTCGGTGCCGCCGTCGGCGGCGGAGCGTCATCCTCTTCCAGCTCTTTCTCCACCGTCACCCGCACCTTCCGCAGCGCGGGGGGAGCCAGCGGGAGCAGCGGCATCGGAGAGAGTCTGACACCACGCTCCTACATCATGGGGAACAACCAGCGCACTCAGGTGAGGGACACGGCACCACCATTGTGGGAGGGGCAGAGACACCAAACTACTGGAGGAAATCTCACCATTGTGGGAAGGGCAGAGACTCAAACTACTGGGGGAAATCTCAAAATTGTGGGAGGGGCAGAGACACAACTACTGGGGCAAATCTCACCATTGTGGGAGGAGCAGAGACACAAACGACGGGGGGGAAATCTACCCATTGTGGGAGGGGCAGAGACACAAACTACTGGAGGAAATCTCACCATTGTGGGAGGGGCAGAGACACAACTACTGGAGGAAATCTCACCATTGTGGGAGGGGCAGAGACACAAACTACTGGGGGGAATTCTCACCATTGTGGGAGGAGCAGAGACACAAACTACTGGAGGAGAAATCTCACCATTGTGGGAGGGGCAGAGACACAAACTACTGGAGGAAATCTCACCATTGTGGGAGGGGCAGAGACACAAACTACTGGAGGAAATCTCACCATTGTGGGAGGAGCAGAGACACAAACTACTGGAGGAGAAATCTCACCATTGTGGGAGGGGCAGAGACACAACTACTGGAGGAAATCTCACCATTGTGGGAGGGGCAGAGACACAAACTACTGGAGGAAATCTCACCATTGTGGGAGGGGCAGAGACACTAGGGGGAGGGAACCTTAATCTTTAACAATTCTTATCTAATGATTTTGTTTTCTCCTTTGCAGGCCAAGCCCTGTGCCATCATGTAACCTCGTCCCATCCGGCGACACTGCCACCTATTAAAGCTAATCCCGTGGGATATATTTTGTTGTTTTTTTTTACTTTTTTTCTACGTCTTAGTATTTTATAGAAGGAAAAAAAAATGCATTTTTTTAATTTTATGTTATTTGAGAGCAGCTTATAATTGTGTCTGTTCTAAATGAAACCAAAGGTATCTATCAGGTAGGCCTCGGCGTTGGGGCGCCCTGGCAAAGCTCCTCCAATTGGTCCCCCACCGCTGGCTTGCACCGCCCCTCTTTTTAAAAGCGTCGGTAAGCGTTTGGGCCGCCACGCCAAATGTTTGCATTTGAGCAAGGGTCCGCGGGGAAAAACAAAATGGCGTCCGGCGCCACCAGAAGTTAAAAGTTCATCGTATGGCCAAAGCTAAACCTGTTTACAAACCCCGTTAGACACTACTGCGCGTTACTTGAAGAAATAGCTGTTTAATCAAAGGGAGATCAGCGCCCGAAGCGGCCGCGGCGAGTCGCGTATTTCCGTTGTGGCGCCATCATTTTCAGGATTTTATATCTCAATAAAAAAAAATTAAGTGAGATAATTGCACTCTACCGAAAAAACAAATTGCTACAAAAGTTCGTATTTTTAGGGATAACGTTGCTCTAGTGCTGAGGGGCAAAGGTCACATGACCTACTCGCTTTATACAAAGGTCACATGACCTCGCTTTATACAAAGGTCACATGACCTACTCGCTTTATACGGATACACTAACACTAGGTTGTCAAAGCCTGAACTACTCGTTCATGGGAGGGGCCCCCCACTGCCTTTTGGATTCATTGGCTCATACGATAAAACGCGTTGAGCGAGAACCGCCCTCGCCGCCGCGTTGCTTGCGCCTAGAATGCCGGCCGGTGACATATTTTACTGCTTAAAATTCATTAACCGTCGCCCGGCAAAGCTCTTTCTCTTCGATGTACATTTATATATATATTGTATCTTCTACGGCTCCGAGCAGTTCCACAGTTTTGCAGTAAAGGCAACAAATAGATTTTAGAGATAAATAGAAAATATCATAAAAACAGGTTATTAGTCCCATTTTTTACATTTATTTTTTTGTATTTCGTTAAAATTGCTATTTCCCCCTTAAAATTCATACCCATCGCCTGGCCAGCTCTGTCCTTCCATGTAAATCTATATATTTTGTATCTTCCAGAGATCAGGGGAAGGGTCTGTTTTCTAAGTTGTTCTTATAAAGTTTTTTTTGTTTTTTACTGCTGGAGGGGAAAAGTCAGAGATTTTGAAAGCTGTCGAAACGCGTTAGTTGACAATGATGTTCGCACTGGCTTTATTTGTATGTCGTGTTGAGGAAACCATGTTGATGTTTTTTTTACTCTTGCGTACGAAAAAGTTGCAACTTTTTTTTTTTCAAGCTAACAAATATTTGGTACTGGACGCCGGTCCAGCAAGAGCGGGGGTGGGTAAACCCCGGCCCTCCAGCTGCGGTGGAACTACAAATCCCATGAGTTATTGCAAAGCTCTCACAGCCAGGGGCATGACTCCCAGAGACCGATGCATGATGGGATTTGCCGTTCAGCACAGCTGGAGGGCCGGCGTTTGGCCGCCCCTGAGGTAGACGGAGGAAATGTGGACACGTTGATGTGCCCTTCCATTGGTTGCAGAATGTTTAGTGCCTTAGGACGGCCCCCGGAGTCTGATTTTTAGTGTCGCGGGAAAACGAAGGTCGATATTTTGCGTACAGCCCATCCATTCGCCCCGGCCAAGTCACATGGTCTCACGGCGGTTGGCCAGATTTCAGGGAACAAAGCGGTCATCTTTAATGATCTTCAAGTGCCTTATAAGGGCGGAGGTCCCGCCTACTCTAGTCCCGCCCCCTCTTCCTCTGGCGATTTGTATATTTTTTTGTTCGATGCTTTTGCTCTCTTTATATGATTTATAGTGCGGCGAGTCCATTTCTATGCTATCCGCTTTTCAATAAAAAAATGAACCCGACCGGGTGTGTGTCTGTGTGATCCTTGTCCTCGGGGGCCGGAGGTGCGCGTTTCGCTCAGCGCTGATCTTTATTTTTTACAGCAGCCATGTTGATTTCTGTCAAACGCATCCTTTCCAGTGTGATGCAGAAGGAGAAAAAGTCACCATTGCAGTCTGTGGAGTCGCTCCGAGGGCAGCCAGGAGCTGAGCTTAGATTTCATGCAGCCGGTTCATTCTGAGTTTATATCTGTCAGAGCACGTCAGTAAAATGCCCAGTGGGGGGAGGGGGGGATCCAAGGAGAAGAATTACTTTCCTTTCTTCTAAATACTCTTCCTGTGACGTGTATGT